AGAACTCCGCAAGGCCACTGGCTTCATTGTCTCTGCTGTCACTGTGGAAGCTGGCAACTTCTACTCAGGAACAGTACTCCCTCAGTAATTGGAGTTGTCTGATCTAGGACAAAGTCAAACTTTCCCACACCAGCCTCCCGCTCCCCCAAAACAGGGACTGCTGCCACCCTGCACTGCTGCCCCTCAAAAACAGGGGCTGCTGCCACCCTGCACTGCTGCCCCACAGAGCACAGTTATTAAAATAACTGATTTTTAATATCCCTAAGGATTATAACGCAGTATTTTGACAAATATGAAAATTTTAAACATGTTGTGGTCAGGATTTTTAGTGGCATAGAATTGCCCCGGGAGTATTTTAGAGCTGACTTGACAAAGTCTTTTTTCTTTACCTGTGTTGCAGGAACCCCTCCCAGAATGGAAAACCCATTCCAGCTGCTTTGTGCTCCTCTAGGTAGGGAGGCTGCTACTGAAGCCTTACTGTTCAGGCAAGAAGGGGTGGTTACTACAAACCCTACCGGGGCGCGGGAGGGGGCGAGGGAGAACTACAGCAGCTCTATTGCAAACAAAGGAGGCTGCCGGGGTGGGCGCCAAGTCCCGGAGCAGCACAGGGCTTGCACGCAGCCGACCCGGGCCACTCTAGTAACGCCGGGGGCTGCACGCGATTTCCAGGCACAAAGTGGGAGCTGGAAAGTTTGGGCGAAACTTTAAAAGAGCCCGAGGCAGCCCTTGGGGCGGGGGAGACAAGTTCCGGACGCCCCGCTCCCCTGAGCGCTAACGCGGGCGCAGGGAGGCCCCACCCGGCTGAGAGGGGTCCGCGCAGCCCCCGCCTCATCAGCCACGCGGGCCTCCCACTTGGCCCCGCGGGGGACGGAAGCAAGGAGGGAAAACGCGGGGCTCTGGCCCAAACCGTTATGCTCCAGGAGCCTCGCCTGACAAGAGGCCACGTCCCGCCCGCGGACAGGCGCCCCCGCTCCCCAGCTGCCGGCCTCGCTCCACCTGCCGAGAGCTCTGC